TTTGCCTTCTAAAAATCAGATCTTGGGTTCACGACAAACCCAAGATTCGAGGTTCCTCGCAAACCCAGGATGAACCCAGCCCTCACCTGGGTTTGCGATGAACTCACCTAGGCGTGCACTAGCTACCCAAAAGCAATCGACCCCTTGAGGGCCCCATGTGTTTAAGATCCTATTTCTCGTAGATCTTGGAATATTCTACTTGATTTGGTTGTTTGAATGAGATTTTCATTGTACTAAGTTTATGAACCCATAAATAAAATTTACAGATGTGAGTTTGCTTTCATGTGTGTCTCTCATGATGTTTTAATTTCCTGAATTTTTTGTTGCTCTTAGGTTTATTTCTGATTCTGTTGCTAGATGTTTTTGGAGTTGTTTGTTGAGAAGAACATGCTTTTTTTTTTGGGCAAAGATTGAGAACCCAGCTCGCGCCTGGGTTTGTCGCGAACCCAGGGGCAAGCTAGGTTCGTTGTTAACCCGAGCGCAAACTAGGTTTGTTGCCAACCCAATCGCGTGAGCTGCATTCATCCTGGGTTCGCGAAGAACCCAGGATGAACCCACCCAAGCACGCTCTAAGTTCGTCACAAACCCAGGATGAACCCAGGCACAATGAACCCAAGTCATGCTTGGGTTTGCGACGAACCCAGCTAAGGTTTAAAAAAAGAAAAAAAAATCAGAAGGGTGAAGAAGATGGGGGCAAATAAGTAATTACAAAATAACCTTTAAAATATTTATAATGACAATTATGTAATTAAATGATTTTTAAGGTTATATTAGACAAAAAAAAATTATGAAATCCTGACGTGGATTAAAAAATATGTCCACATCATTTTTTTTTTACAAAGTGGATTTTCCACATCACACAATTCCGTTAAGTGACTACGACTTGTTAAAAAATTTAACGGAGGGACCAAAAAGGGGTTGGATTTCAAATTTTAGGGACTAAAAAGGGGATTTTTTTCAGTACAAGGAGTAAAAAGTGGCTTTTTTTATAGTAGAGGGACCAAAAATGATATTTAACCTAAACAAAACAAAAGTTTAATTACAACTTTTTTTTTAATCTCGGACTACATAATGAGATACACTCTATCTTATTCTTTAATTTACCCCACTCTTATATCATAATATTCAAATTCAAAATCTTTTAGGTTAAATCCCCAATTTGGTCTCTGTACGGACCCTTGATTTAATCCTTGAACTAAAAAAATTCTTAATTTGGTCCTTGAACTATTATACGAACCCCTGATTTGGTCTTATTGTTTACCAATTTGCCTCAAGATGGTCTTTCTGTACAAAAAACAGATTACGTGTCTTGTTATTAATGTGATACGTGGTCATTAAGTAACTGTTTTTCTACCATTAACTAACTGACACATCAACTATTTTTTATATGGAAGGACCAACTTGGAGCTAAATCAATAAATAGTATGACCAAATTGGAGGTCTGTACAATATTTCAATAACCAAAGCATGGATTTTTTTAGTTCAAAAGCGAAATTGAAGTTTCGTATAATAGTTCAAGAACCGAATTGAAAATTTAACCAATCTTTTATTTTTACTAAAAAAAGTTAGTATCAAATTATTTAAATGATTAATAAATTTAATTACATTAAAAGGGGCGCTAGGAAGTGCACGCCCCTATAACATCAGCAAGCCAAAGAGGTGCTATATACTTGCGTTAGACAATGATTAAAAACAACAAAAAAGGTAGGAAGAGTGGTGCCCATGCCTAACTGAACCACACACGTACTCCCTTCCCTAATGTTTTTGTAACTTTAATTAGTGGGTATTGAGAGTCTTGCCGGTCCATTAATCCATGCATTTTCATAACGTCTAATCAAGGAAAAGGTCTCTAGCGGAAGCGTATAAGTAAAGATCATGATAATCTTTCAATCTTCATTTCCCATGCATTTTGGCCTGATCCAAACCAATTTGGATATTATCGTGCATTTGCCAAAATAATTAGTGTACCCTCCACATGTCTTTTTTTGTTTTCACCTCATGCTAGTGCTACACACCAAAACAAACTTTCCCTAAGAGAGTTGGAATTAGTACCCTTTTTTTTTTCCTTTTTTTTGTGTTTGTTAGGCGGGTTTACTTGATTATGAGTGAAAAGGGCTAAAAGGTTACAAATCAAACCTTTCATGATTTAATTAAATGAAATTAAGAAAAAGGAGGGGTAGAATTCAAGCAAACTTTAGTAAACTCATGAAATTACTATGGCTAGCTAGCTGGCTAGCTTTAATCGATGAAGTCTTGTACCTTCATAGTACAACATTACTTTCTCGTGATAATATTTTTCACATTGGAAGGTTAACATATTGAGGATTCAAATTTCCATAAAAAACGACGGAAAATCGCACAATTCTTGGGTTATACTTTACATAAACACTGCCAAATAGAAGAATTTCATTCCCTATGTATACCAAAATAGGGAGATTAACAGTACTGGACAAAAATGGAGGATATGATTATGTAGTAGCCAGCTGGTGCCTAGGCAGCCCTAGCATGAATAAGAATTTGGTTTTGGGCCTTTTGGCACCATTTGACAAGTTTAAAATACCTGTAATAATATATATATATATATATATATATACATATATTTTTTTTGGGTGGGGGTTAAGGCATTGACATGTTTAACGTGGTATGATGCATGCATTTGGACTTTTGGAAACACCATTTAATCAAAAGAGCTTAACCCCTGCTTAAAGTCAACTTAGAAAGATACTCTTGAGAATCATGTTCTTGCTTCTTCTTCTTTTTCCGCATATATCCCCATATCATGTTTTGGAAATTTGTTTTATATTTTATGACTTATCGTATTTTGAGTTGTTTGGTCATAGTTACTCACCCAAAAATAGAATAAGCATAATGGATAAAATGGCTAGGACATTAATAGAATTCATTTTGCATGAATTTCCCTAGGCTCTTCATATTGGGATCTGAAAATTCTGCGTATAGCTTGATTTTATTCTTCCTGTATCTTGTTAGTGTTTCGTTTACTGTCTAGCAACAGCAGCAGCAGCCTTATGAGAAAGAGCCTTCCTTTGAACATTGGAGTTCTTTGGTAATAAATTTAAATTTTAACAAAGAATTGTTAGATTTAAGTAGCCTATTAGTAATTTTTTTTTATTTAAAATTAAGTGATTGTGACTTTAAGTGATATAATATGTAGATGATATGAGTTAAAAAATGTAAGAAAATTTTCTTTTATTAAGTGACTTAAGATAAAAAAGAAAAAAAACAAAGTTATTTATGTTGGAGCTAAAAATTTACCAAAAAAATTACTTCATCATCTTGATCTGAGCTAAGAGAATCAATTTAGCTTGTTAACCAAGGGAATATAAGCTTAAAATGCTATCATAATTTTGTAATCTCACCTATTACCTTGAAGGAAGATGGGGTTGTGTAAAGATGGCATAAAACGCACTTTTATTTTATTAGTATTTTCCATCATTCCTAATATTAAAGTTCGTTAGGTAATTACATAATAATTTGACATGGTCAAGGTGACAAATATGCCTAGGGAGAGTAAACTTGATTGAAAATTGAGAGTTGAAACCTGACCTTTCCCACTACATTACTTTAACAAGAGACCTTTTTTTTTTTATTCCCAATACTTGAGTTAAAGTAATCCACTTTACCTTACCATTCTCACCAATCGCCATTTCTCTTTTATTCTTTTTTTATTTTTTTTGGGGCCTTTCTTTGGTTTTGGTTGCTTTGCTAAAATTCATGAAGCATTCATTACTGAACCCCCCACCCCAAAATAAAAGGGAAGAAAAAACAGGGGACTCTGTCTCTGTTTCAGAAACAGAGAAAAGACAGCATTTTTTATTAGTATAATAAACCTACACCATGATCTTATTAGTTCCTCAAACTGGATTTAAAAGAAATCTCATTTGGGGAATGACATTTTTTGTTGAAAAACAGGGATTGAATGGAAGATTCATGCTTCAATGGGAACTGGGAAATGGGAAGTGAGCCAAAGGCAACAGAGTCTGCCATAAACCAAGGGAATGTTGAATAATCAAAGTAGTGCACCAAAATTTTGGCTTTTCTTAATTATCCAAAGTCAAAACATGAGAAAGAGAGAGAGCAAAAGCAGAAACTCAGAAATTCACAATTGTTCCAAATTTTCAAAGAAAATGAATATGCACAATCTGATGGTATTAATATAACACAAAACTTGATCATTAATCATTCTGAAGAGTATACAGATTTCTTGTTCATCTTGAAATGAATAGTAATAAATGTAAAGAAACAATCCTTCCTAATTTCTATACAGTATATAACTAAGAATCCCAATTCCAAAGCCAAAAAACCATGATCCATTCTTTCCCATCTGATCTCCTCTGGCTTGATTCACATCCAATCCAAAAAACAAATCAAAGAACTCTTCTAACCCTTTCTACAAAAACCCAGAAAAGAGAAAAACAAAAAAACTACCAAAAGTCGGTGTTTGGTACTCAATTTGGGGGAACAGAATCGACCACGCTGTTGTGTCCCTTGGATGGTCCAGAAGGAGGAATAGGTACCCACTTGGGGAAGAAGTTGAACAACTTTCCTCGATATTCAAAGCTTGTCTTCAGGTCCTTTTTATAACCTCCCATGGAGACGTCCTCGTTCAAGTTCATCGTTGTCCCGGGTCTGGTAGCAGAAGTGGAGGCAACAAGGAGCAGAGCTATGAACAGAACAGGCAGGACATTAAAGCTGCATGAATTATGGTTGAATTTGGAAGAAGAAGCCATTGAAGGAGGAGGAAGGAAGGTTTGAGGAATGTAGGGTTTTAGGGGGGGGTAAGGCAGAGAGATTTAATGAACTTTTACTGAGGCAGAATGGCTTTTTTATATGTGCATGGGGTGAAGGAAAAAAGGTTGGGCAGGTGGGAGAGCAGAAAGAAGGAAGAGAGTGAAACACACGCTAAAGAAAATTCAATTCTGAATTTCCAATTTCTTTCCTAATTCTTTTTCTTTTGGATGACAACAATTGAAAATATAAATATTGAAAAAATGGCTTTGGTGCCGACTATTTTGAGCCTTAGACTTTCCAAGCTTGCGTTTTCTTTTTCCCTCTATTTTTTTAATAAAAAATCTTGTGTTTCCTTGCGAAATAAGTTTTTTTCTTCTTCTTCTTTTATTTTTTTAATAAAAATTTAAATTTATCACTTATAATTTATAAATAGTAAAAAAAATTTTTACAAATTAATCCAAACATACTTTAAGTCTGTGTGGGCATAGGATTAGAGGAAGGAGGGCATAGCCCAGAAATTTGCAGGGCCCAATCCACTATGACATGTCTTTTTCTGTATTGTTTCCGGTCGTACCTATAACAGCTTAGCTTCTCATTAATGCCAGCCAGTGTATAGGATCTGATTTCAGATTTATACCCCACATTTAGCACATTAATTAAAAACGATTTTTTTTATATAGTAATAATATATTGGTTAAAATATCATTTGGATCCCTCAACATTTCATTTTAGTATCAAAATTGTCTCTAAATTTTAAAAAAAATCAAAATTTTCTTTAAATTTTCTTTTTTTGTCAAAATGATCCTTTTGTCAATTAAATGAACAATTGACACGTTAAATTGTTAAAAAAAATTATGTTTTTCTAAAAAAATGTGATGGTATATGAACAATTTTTTTTTTCATCTTATTCAATATTATAGGTCTCTTATAAATTAAAAAACTAATCATTTTAATAAAACATCATATTATATAAAAAAATAAAACAAAAAAATTATACAAAAATCATTTTCTCTATAAAAAAAAACTGATGGGAAAAAGATAACATACATAAATCGATGAGGTAGCCATTTTTTTTTGTTGACATGGCATTTTAATTTTAATAAATAAATAGAGAATCATTTATTATTAATTAATTAATATATTTCCAAAATTAACCTTCTTCTTCCTTATTCTTCCCTTCTTTCACTCTTCCCCTCTTTCTCTCTCTCGTCCGCGGGCCATCATTTCTTCTCCATCTCCTCCGACATCTCTTCCCTTTCCATTTTTCCATTTTTCTTGAACCATGACAATCCAGTGCTGGAGATCAATTGTCGTGGCTTCACTCGAATGGAAATGATCTAAAACCGACCGTGGAAGTAGGTGAAACAAAGGGTATGGAGATTGATTCAGGAAGAACCAAAGGTGGAGAGGAAAAGGAGAGAATGTTTGAGATATAAGAAATTGATTTAGGGTTGGTTCTCAACCCAGATCTGGGTTCTCGAAAACCCATATCTGAGCTTGAGAACCTAACAAATTTGAGATTACATATTTTTGTTGGGTTGAGAACCTAACTGAGATTACATATTCAATTTTGGAAGAGGAAGATTCGAGAATTTTTGTAGAAAATGCTTTTTTTGTTTATGGTAAGAGAGTCCATGGCTGGGTTTTAAATGGAGATCGAGAAACGAGAATCAATGGTGTTGAGAAGTGGGATCGTAATATACTTTCAAGTTTTAGCGTTTGCAGAGGTAAAGGAAAAGGAGAGGTAAAAGAGAGAAAGTGAAAGAGGAAGAACAGATCGTTTTTTTTTTTTATTTTTCTCTAATGTGGATGGAAAAATCTTCAATTATCGAATTGATAAACAAGAAGTTACAAATCTGAGGAAGGAAAATTGAAGTTTTCAATATAAAAATTTTGGGTTTTTTACAGATCTGAGGAAGGAAGGGGAAGTTTGAGGTTGAGGGAGACAAGATTTTGTCAAATTCATTCACAATTTTTTTTACAGATTTGAGGAAGGAAAATTGAAGCTTTCAACATAAAAATTTTGTTTTTTTTTT